TTGGATTTCATGCCTCCTGTTTCCCTCTTTTGTCTGTGGTAGGTTTGGGTGGTATCTTTGTCTTGAGGCTGAGTGACCAAGAATTTGTCCCCAGCTGGGGTATAAGGGCTGGTTGTTCCTTTTCATTTCTTGCTTTTAAAATGGAGGAAAATATCTTCACCTTTGCACAAAGGGCTTTGAAATCTAGTCATGGAGAATACTCTGTCACCTCAAGCTGGTCGTTAGTGTGCAACCTGTTTGCTAATAAACCAATGCAAGACCCTGGTGTCAAAATGCTTAGAAATGGTCAAATCAGCTGGGACCCCACTTCTACATTGGACATGCCTTTTCCATTTCCCAGCCCCGTGCAGAACATAAACCTGAATCAGGAGGTGGCTCGCTGTGAACTCTGATAAATTGGACTGGGTATCTGGGGATTGGGGAGCAGACACTTCTTCTTTTAACCTTTCAAGACCAAGAATCATTTGGCCAAAAATCCACCATGTATTGAACTTAGGGTATGAAAGCTGCACAGTGTATTAAATGTGAATTTGAGACCATGAATTCTACCCACACTGACTCTATAAAACAGCCTCCCTTTTTCATAAAGCAGGCCCATAAACCGCTGCCAGCGAAGCAGAAAGACTCCTTAGGCCCATGGCTCGCTTTCCGTCTGGAGTTGTCAACAAACCCCCTTTATGAGTGGAATAGACCTCTTGTATGTGTCGAGCTTCTGGCTTTTTACAGAGTGTGTTAGGAGCCAGGCTAGGCAAACGTTAGGCGCTGTTTGCTGAGTGCATTTATTGCCTTTGCATAATTTATGAGCTGGAGGGGCTGACCATCATTCGTCTCTGCCAGGGGCTGGCACTCGAGGCTCCAGAGAGCGGAGCTGTAAATTGGATGGTGCGCTCCTGCTGAGCTCACGGCAAAGTCCTCGGGTCAGTATGGGAATTTAATACCAGAAATGGAACTGTTTTTGCAGCGCACCATGTGGGCCCCGGCGCAGCAGAGACTGTTTTGGCAGACTCTGCGACTGGCCTTGTCGAGGAGCTGTCACTCACCCGGCGTGTTGTGTGGGGAGCCTGAGCATTTTTAATCGGCTTGGCATCCGTGCTGCTTCCATAATGGATACCAGTAGGTCTCGGTTCTCCACCATATGCTTAACTCTGGAGACAAGGTGCTTCTGGGTATATCAGTAATTACTTGGTGCGGAATTAAGTGGACCTTGAAATTAGAACTGGACCGTTGGAAAGCAGGAAGCTTAACACTTTGATAGAAATAACCATTCCCAGGGACACGCTGCTGTTAGGATGGGCGGGAGCGGGGGGCGGGCAGCGGGGGTTCTTCCCCGACCTCCTCACTCCCTCTGCCCTGTGCACACCAGTCCTTGGGGATGTGGGCAAATGCTGTGCCCCAGCCTCAACTGTCATTGGTTACCTCACGAGACAGCTGTGAACAGCTGGGAGAATGAGCCTGCCTGGCAGAATCCTCCTCCCTCTCCCCCCCACCCCAAATCATGTTTTGTCACTCTTGAAGATGTGCCCAGAACTTGGGAACCTCAAGGAAGGCTTAATTAAAGGCAATAGGAAAATCACACAATCAGGAGAATTGTTGTTCCACATTGAGGCCTTCAGAGTCTTCGTGTCACCCATTTTCTTTCTCAACTCATTTGGCTTTTTATAATAGCCAGATCCACTCCCCAGACAAAAGGAAGGAAGTTTAGACAATCTGAGGTCGGAAGCTTGGTTGAAAATGATGCAGTTGTGGTTGGTTAAAGTGCTGTCAGTAAAACTCTGATAATCGTATGGCATTGAGGAGCCCAGTAAAAAGGAAAATGTTATAACCCTCCAGTCCATAAGGTTGTGATGTGAGTTACTAAATGTTTATAGTACAGGGAGCTGACACTGGAAAGAGGAAGCAGTCTCCAAATTGTGCCTTATAATACCAAGATGACCATTTGGATGGGAATTTTGTTATTGTCGATCGAAAGCACTCTAATGGTGGTTTAAACACTAATGTAACTTACTGTTATCTGAACAAAAGTCCCTAGGTGGGCTGCTCTGAGGTTGGTTTAAGTGGCCCAGTTGTGCCAGGCTTTTTCTTTCTTTGGCCCCAGCATCTTGTTTTTGTACTTAGGCTTTTTGCCTCATTTCTGCAAGGTAGCTGCCACAGATCCAGACATCACATCCTCATGCATCATGTTCAAAGGCAGGAGGCAAGTGATGCTGCTTTACTCCCTTTTTTGAGGAGAGAAAAAATTTCCAGAACCCTCAGCAGACATTTCCTCAAGTCTCGGCCAAAAAAATGTACCTTATGGCCACCCTTAGCTGCAAGGAAAGTTGTTGGGAGAGAAAGAATATCTGGCTTTTTCAATCTCAGAATGTCAGGAGAAGGTACAGACGAGGAGAAGGGATTGTGAACGGCTGAGGGTATTTAGCCAGTACTGACTGCTGCATAAGGAAATTTATTTTCTGTTTCTGTTCATAGCAACATCAACTCCCACATCCAGGTGGCCACACTAAAAAACTTTGGCATCATCCTCGACTCATCCCTCTAACTTGCTTCCCAGATCCATGTGTTATCAAGTCCTGTTGGTTCTACCTTCAGAATTGCTCTGCCATCTGTTCCTCCCTTTCTCAACCACACACCATGCTGCTTTAGACAGTGTGATTGTTGCCAAACTGGTGTCCTCATGACCTGCGTCTTTCCCCACAGCTCACTGTCTCCCCTCCACCGTGGAAAGAGTCATCGCAATAGAACATGGCTCCGCTCATGCTCAGGGCTTGTGTTCTAACTCCATTTCTGTAGTCATGTGCCACAACAAACACTGTTTCAGTCAACCACATATATGGCGGTGCTCCCGTAAGAATGTAATGGAGCTCAAAACATGTTTATCGCCTAGTGACGTTGCAGCTGTGTAGCATCGCGGTGTGACTCATTTCTGATGTCGTCGTGGAGATGCTCATGTAAACGACCCTACTGCACTGCCAGTCCTGTGCGAGTACAATTATGTGCAGGACGTGATACTTGACAGTAATTCCGACTGGGTTACAGGTTGATGTATTCCCTCTACTTTTTATTGTTGTTTTAGAGTGTGCTCTTTCTCTTATAAAAAAAAAATTGCTGGGAGACAGTATACTGTGTTACACAGGCCGCAGCCTCGTGCATCCCGCCTTTACTGCTCTCTCGATTGCATCATTTTCGCTTGTGCTTGATTTAACCTCGTGTTGTTTTGTCCAGTAACATGCTGTATAGGCCTGTAGACTGGGAGTAGTAAGCTGTACCACATAGCCTGGTTTCTGTAAGCACACTGTGATGTTCACATAGCAGTGACATCGCCAAGCAGCACATTTCTCAGAACATATCCTGGTCGCTCTGCTCCTCGCGGTGACTGTACTGCTAACCTGAGGGCTACATTAGGTCCAGTCCTGTGTCTTGTCTGAGTATCTGTCCAGCTTAGCCGTGCTTATCCAGGGTGGTTGAGTGAATGAACAGATACATTTATCTGCTGTGCATTTACTCTAACAAAACACTTCCCTTTTTTAAAAATAAAATATTGGATAATGGAATATTCTTGTTTTGTTTTGTTTTTTAAAAATTATGGGTTTTTTCTTCCCTTTGAGTTAATTTTCATTCTCTGGTTATCCCAAACCCAGCTCAACAGTTGGCACTTGGGGATCTGTTAGACATGGTGTGAGTCTTCAGCCCTAAAACTTTTTTCCCCCCCATATTGTTGATTTGTTACCCTGACTCTTATCCTTGGCATGTTTTTCATAGGAAATATCCCCTCTGTTGTCTGGGCCTCTAAACCCTGGAAAAGGCAACCATCACAAATGGTGGGCCTCGCCCATTATGTTCAGTTTTCTTTCAAGTCCAAATGAGAGAACTCAATGGCCAGAGGTTTGCCTCTTTTCTTCTAGAAGAGCTCCAAGAGACAGCCATTGACAATAGCCATTGACAGTAGAAGGTCTCCATTAAATAAGTGATTTTTCTCTGAATTCCATCAAGTGATCTTGATTCACCTTAACCCTGTGGCAAGGTTGGCTCCTCGATGGGCATCCCTCTGCTGTGCG